CTAGTAAGCGCGAGTCATCAGCTCGTGCTGATTACGTCCCTGCCCTTTGTACACACCGCCCGTCGCTCCTACCGATTGAGTGATCTGGTGAATAATTCGGACTGCTGCGGTGTCCAGTTCCTGGACCTGCTTGCGGAAAGTTTAGTGAACCTTATCACTTAGAGGAAGGAGAAGTCGTAACAAGGTTTCCGTAGGTGAACCTGCGGAAGGATCATTCGCACGCATCCATTCGAATCATTGTGAACAACAGTTGGTGAGGCTCTGGGAGGCCATGCTGGGGTTGTATCTCGCAGCTCATGAAGGAGGGTCAGATGACGCTTCCGCGCTGCAGAGCGTTGCGGCCGGGTACGACGAGGACATCACCGTCGTCCTGGAGCATCTTATCAAGTACACTCAGCGCCTCATGCGCAACAGCGGAGCCGATGAGCAAGTCAAGTATCAGACACATGTCAACCGATGGGAAAGAATGCTGGAGCGCGTCCGGGCCGAGAGGGACGATAGCGTGAGCCCGCCGCTCGCCAGCGGCCTCTTGAAGCTCGACGCCGAGCGCCGCCCCGACACCAGCCAGGAGCCCAGCCAGCCCGTGGCCCCCCCCGGGCTAGACCCAGCAGCGAGTGCCCCGCCCCTACCGCCGCTGGCCACCCCGCCTGGCGTGCGAGTACCTGGAGCCTCGCGCCTCTCGTCTTCGGGGGCCTTCCCAGGGCTGCGAGAGGAGCGGCGTGGGGCGGGGGGGGCCTGATCGCGTTCCTCGCCCAGGCCCCACCCAACGCCGAAGGGCGGCTTGGGGGAGCTGCTGCGGTCGAGCCTCGCCCAGTGCTTCTTGAGCTGCGCGTCCATCCCGTCAGGGGCGGGGTGCGGTGCACCGCTGGCGTCACCTGATGCGCCAGCCGGGTGCTGACGCACAAGTTGGTCGCCTCGGGCTCGGAGCTGGGCCCACTGGGGGCGGCTGATCCTCTTGGCCTTCCCGCCCACGGGGACCCCGTTCCAGGGGTGCAGCTTCTCCCGCGCGAACTTGCTCACGACGACGCCGTGCGCGCTGATCCCCAGCTCTTCCGCCCCGAGCGGCGGGTGGTGCAAGAGTTCCTCAAGGTAGCCGGTGGGGAGTTTGCCCTGGTCGCTGGCGGCGGGGGCGCGCTCGATCCCCGCGGTCTTGAGAGTGAAGCAGATCTGCTCGAGGTCTCCCGGGGGGCGCTCCTTGCTGCGCGGCTCCTCGACGTCTACCACGGCCAGGCCGCCGCCCCCCAGTGGTCCCTCTCCAAGTCTTGACCTGCCCAAGAACACGATCCACTGCGGGCCGGCTGCCCACTGTACCCGAACTCGCAGTGCCAGATGGTCGCTCTGGTCGACCTCCTCGCTCGGGGCGGGGCTGGCACGCCGCGGCAGGGGCACCCTAGGTGAAAGTGAAGCCTCGAACCGAACGCTGGCAGGCGGAGCCCGTGGTGTAGACGGCGCGTCACGAGGGGGCGGGCCTGATGCTGCCTGCCCACGATGACCTTCAGGCCCTCGAGCCCCATCTGCTGGGGAGACTGTTGCTGCAGGGGCTCCCGGCTCGCGCGTCCGAGGGCTGCGGCTGCGGGCCGCCCGACGCCTCAAGCCTGAGAAAAGCCCGCGGTTCGGTGAGGTAGCAGTGGCCTGAGCAGCTCTGCCCACTTCTCCGCCCAGATGAAGGAGACAAAGTGGTACACCCTCGGCGTTGCCGACTGCCTGGCGGTAGCAGGTCACCTGGGAGCACTCGTCGCGATACCGCGAGGCCCGGTAGACCTGCGAATGATGGGCACAAAGATGGGCGAAGGAGTTCCTCCCGTCGCCGGGTGGCGGGAGATCGGAAGCCTGTCCGTCCTCCATGAGCAGAGCGGTTGGCTCGGCCTCTGCGGCGTCGCGGCAGCCGTCGGGGGCCAAGGGGCGAGCGCCTCCACGAAGTACAATGCCCACCCGAACTGCTTCGCATGGCTTGTCCTCAGCCTCCACTTCCGACTCGGATTCCTGATCAAGGACTTCTGCGACACTTCCTGCAACGCCTGGCTCCGCAGCGCCTGTCTTACGACGGCGGCGTCGCCGGCAGCAGAAAGAGCATCCGCAGGACAAGATGCAATACGTGAACACAAGGATCCGCCACGCGCCGCGCCCGAGATCCGTGAAAGCTCGCCAGAGTAGGAAGACGCCGCGGCAGGAGGTGAACTTGGCATGGGAGCCGATGTCCACGATCGCCTCGGAGTCCAGAGCTGCGTATTCTTTGCAGTGGATTTCCCCAGGCCGGTCGCGGCAGGCCAGGTTGCGGCACAGGTGGATCGAGCGGCCCTCGAGCATCTCCAGCTTCTGACGGAGTGCGCGTGAGCTGGCCCCCTTCACGCTCAGGTAATCCACCCAGAGGCCCGTCCTGTCGATCCGCTTGGGCTCCGCGAGGTCGATCCTCACACGGGCGACGTGGTCGTCAATCTTGACCAACGCATCGTTGGGCCTCCTCCCCGTCCCACGACCCTTCACCTTCTTACTGTAGTACTCGGTGGTCGTAGCGGGTCCGGTCTCTGGCCCCATCCAGTGGATCTGGGTAAGGGCAGGCGGAGCCGGCGGCAGGTACCTTTCGGCAGCTGCATCGCCAGGCTCTTTCCGGCGGCACTTGAAGCACCGCGCCAGAAGACCAATCAGCCAGAGGGCGGCGGCGCAGGGGGCCAACAGCGCCCGGCAAATGTGGGTGAGGAAAGCGAGCATCGCGAGGAAGGCCAGGAAGATGAACGTCCACGCCACGACTGGCCAGGCGGCTCCGAAGACCGTCAGGCCCAGCTTCTCGAGGGCGTAGAAGAACCAGCCGCCGTCCTTGGTCAGCCAGCCCGTCCCGGCGTGGGTCGAGAAGGCGCTCCCGAGGCTGTCCAGCTTCTCGTATGCGCCCCCGCCCATGCCGCTCAGGCGCCAGGCCCAGGTGCCTTCACCCAGGGGCCTCCATCCCAGCGCCCAGACGCCCCAGCCGCCAATCCATGACTCCCCGTCACGGAGGCCGCCGGTGGCGTTGCTGAGGTTGTCGACTCCTCCGGCGGCGCGGGTGGGCGGCGGGGGGGGCGCGTCCGGCGGCCCGTTGTCGGGCGGCGCCTGGGTGCTGCCAGCAGCCTCACCTCCCTCCTCTAGCTCGTCGGTCTCCACGCCGTACTCGGAGTCGTCGTAGTACGGCACGGTGCGCCCAGGCAGGGCCTCGCGGGCCTCCGCTGGGCCGGCCCACCCGGCGCGGGCCGCAGCGGTGCTGAGTGGCCCGCGCCAGTCGTAGGCGGTCGCGCTGGCAGCCAGCGCAACCAGCCCGCGTGTGGGACCCGCCGGCGCCAGGCGCCAGGCGGCCATCGCACGCGCGCTTCCGGGCGCCCGGGGGGCGCCCAGACCTCCTGAGGTCGGCTCCAGGGTTTTGAGCCCCGAAGGCTTGAGCGGGAGAGAGGGAGAGAGAGGAGCAAGCAGAGGCAAGGGCAGGGAGAGAGAGGAAAACCCAAGCCGACTGGGGAGGGCGGGGTCCAACCGTTTAGGACAAACAACTAAGACGTGCTCGCGCCGTAGATGATCACGGTGGGAGGTTTCTGGCCGTCTTCGGCCTCCGGGGGCCCTCGCTGGTCCCTGGAACCGTCAACAAGAGCACGCGGGACGGCACGACGGTCCTGGGAGAGGGGTCTGGGCTTCCTGGGCCGCGCCTGGGCAGAAAATCCGGATCTTGGAACACCGACGTGCGAAGCTATACGTTTCCTGCATCTGGAGACGCTCCAACAAGTGTCCAAAAGTTGTGCTGATTGCACAGTGGTTCGCAATAGTTTTGTTAGGAAGCGCAACGGGTGGGAGAACTTGTAAGTGGCTGTCCACTGCGCTGCACTTGCCTCGCCGGCAACTGGCTTGTGAACTGCCCCCCCGCGCCCGTTGGCTTTCGGAGGAAAGCTGCGCGAAATGGAGGCCTGGCGGGCGCGGCGCGGCGCGGAGGAGGAGGAGGAGGAGGAGGAGGAGGAGGAGGAGGAGGAGGAGGAGGAAGAGGAGGAGGAGGAGGAGGAGAGGAGAGAGAAGGAAGGAGGAGGAGCAGGAGGCAGGAGAGGAGGGGGAGGAGGAGGAGGAGGAGGAGGAGGAGGAGGGGAGGAGGAGGAGGAGGAGGAGGAGGAGGAGGAGGGGAGGAAGGAGGAGGAGGATGCGGAGGAGGAGGAGAGGAGGAGGAGGATGGGGGAGAGGAGGAGGAGGAGGAGGAGGAGGAGAGGAGGAGGAGGAGAGGAGAGTAGGAGGAGGAGGAGGGGGAGGAGGAGGAGAGGAGAGGAGGAGGGAGGAGGAGGAGGAGGAGGGGAGGAGGAGGAGGAGGGGGGGAGGAGGAGGAGGGAGGAGGAGGAGGGAGGGGAGGGGGAGGAGGGGAGGGGAGGAGGGGGAGAGGAGGAGGGAAGGATGAGGAGGAGGAGAGGAGGATAGGAGGAGGAGGAGGAGAGGAGAAGAGGGAGGAGGAGGAGGAGGAGGAGGGGAGGAGGAGGAGAGGGGAGGGGAGGAGGAGGAGGAGGAGGGAGGAGGATGCGGAGGAGGAGGAGGAGGATGGAGGAAAGGGAGGAGAGGGAGGAGAGGAGGAGGAGGAGGAGGAGGAGGAGGAGGAGGAAAGGAGGAGGGGAGGAGGAGGGGAGAGGAGGAGGAGGAGCGGGGGGGGGGAGGAGGATGAGGAATGAGGAGGAGGGGGAGTGAGGAGGAAGGAGGAGGAGTAGAAGGAGGGGGGGGGGAGTGAGGTGTAGGAGGGGGGGGGGAGGAGGGGAGGGGAGGAGGAGGAGAGGAGAGGGGAGGAGGAAGGAGGAGGAGTAGGAGGAGGAGGAGGGGAGGAGGAGGAGGAGGAGAAGGAGGAGGAGGAGCAGGAGAAGGAGGAGGAGGAGGAGCAGGAGGAGCAGGAGGAGGAGGGAGAGGAGGAGGAGGAGGAGGAGGAGGAGGAGGAGGAGGAGGAGGAGAAAGAGGAGGAGGGGGAGGAGAGGCGTTGGAGGGGGACCTGCGCGACCCAACCACTGGCGAGGCGCTGAATCTCATACCTGCTTGTCGCGGTTCGTGAACTTGAGGCCGAGGTAACAGCCGATGTGCAACATGGTAGCCATGAGCAGGAGGGCGAACCGTCCGTTGCATTCGACGTAGTCCAGAACGTCAACATGAGGCGCCGGCAGCGAGTAGTCTAAAAACTGGTGCTGGTCGAATGCGCTCATTGTGGCGTTGCTGTAGCCATCCATCGTTCCCTCCAGGTACTGTGTGACACACCTGTCGTGAAAATGTGCGTCTTTCATCTCGGCAACGAAGGTCATCGGCGCAGACCAACGCGACATGGAGAAGAGCAACACCACCTCCATGACGCCGCCTTGCAATCGGTCTGGGATCTTGGCGGGGTTGCCCAACACGCCACAGAAGACGAGCACGATGATGACCACTCCCGTCATCGCATTCTGAGGCGGAAGGACTGAAGAAAGGAAATATCCCCAGCCGGCAGCGGCCAGCGCCAGCAAGATGCACGGAACCCAGTAGTGGTCGTAAGAGACGAACGGCATGGTAATCAGGAAATAGATGCTGGTGTAGAGGGTGCACTGCAGAAGAAGGTCGGGGATGTTGCCAAACATCTTGGCAAGCATGTAGGAAAAGACGTTCATGCCACCGCCGCTCTCGCGCCAGAACATCGCCCTGTCGTCTCCAAATACCTTCAGGCACGAGACAGACGTCAGCAGCGCAAGGCTCATGTGGAAGGTAGAGATCTTCGCCGCAAGCTCGTTTGAATTCGTGTAGATGCCCCTGTGCAGCAGCCCGACTACGACCGCGCAGCCTGATATGAGCCCAAGGTCGGTGAGCCGCTGCCTTCAGAGAACCAAAAATGACGTAAACATAAACCTTCCGAGGTCCGCGTGGACTTCGTGGGTCGGTGTTGGGCCCCCCATCCCTGGCGCCAGGGGCGCCGCCAGAGGTGCCGCCACAGGGCTCCATCGCCGATCCAAGAAATCCGCACGGACCTCGGGAAGTTCATCTTCATGCCATTTGTCGTTCCTCGACGCCTGCTCTCGCGGAACCACTGCACGACCCGGCGCATCACAAGCGTGAGGAACTGCGGGCAGGCGCCCGGACTCGCCGCCCCCCCCGCGCCCGCGTCGTCTGCCACGCCGGCGGGTGCTGGTAGGAGCGCAACGACTGCATCCTCGCCAATCTGCTCGGCACGAGTGCCAGCAGACTTGGGGGACCGGGACGAGGAAATGTTACGGTCCGAGATGTCCTTGTCGATGGCGATGACGCTGGACATGCCCATCACATACCCGATCAGGTCCTGGAACAACACACGCTGCCGATCCGAGGAGATGTGCCCCATCAGATCGTCCACGCCCTGCTCGTCCGGGCTCGTTACCCCGCACCTCTTCAGCAGCAAGATGAGCTCAGCCTTGTCCAGGTAGCCTGATTGATCGACATCAACCTTGGCCCACTCCTCCACGAGAGCGGACTCAACAATCTTGTAATTTTCCATGTCCGTCATATGTCTGCGAATCCCGCTTGCCGAGAAGGAGCCGACTCTTTCCGTCCACATGTCAAACAGCATGTTCGGCTTGAAATCCGCCGACCCCTTGGGGATCATCGGCGTGTGAGATGCTTTCCCCCTCCCCAAACCCCTCCCCCGGGAGCCTGGTCCGGTCGATTTGGAGGGGGGGGGGGGGGTCGACCACGAGCGCGCCACGGGGCTCTTTCGGCCCCAAGAGGGGCTACAGACCGCCCAGGAATGCCCCAAGAGGCCTCCAAGACCGCCCACGAGCGCTTCGAGACGCCAAACGAGCGCTCGGAGACGCCCAAGGTGGGCCCAAGACGGCCCCAGAGGCCTCCAAGACGGCCCAAGAGGTCCCCAAGAGGCATCTTGGGAGCGGCCCAAGAAGCCAAAATCGTTGATTTTCCATTCGTTTTTGAAGGATTTGGGCCTTCTCGCCCTTTCGGCTTTCCGACGCTCCAAGACGGCCCAAGAAGCTCCCAAGACCGCCCCAAGACGGCCCAAGAGTCCCCCAAGACGGCCCCAAGACGGCCAGAGAGGGCCCAAAGACGGCCCAGGAGCCGCCCCAGACGGCCCAAAAGGCCCCCAAGACGGGCCCAAGAGGGGGTGAAGAGGGGGACCAGAAACCGAAAATCCGAATCTTCCGCCCCAAGAGGCCTCCAGGAAGCCCCAAGAGGCCCCCAAGAAGCCGCAAAGAAGCCCCAACAACCCCCGAGAGGCCCACGATAGACCCCAAGAGACCCCAGAACGGCCCCCAAGAGACTTCAAGAGTGCTCCGAGAAGGCCCCTGACAGACATACCAGGACACCTTCAAGAGGCTCCAAAGACGGCTCCAAGAGGGGGGACAATGTACATCAAGGGGTCGGCGGTGTGGCGTAAGCCCAAGAATCTTGGATGGTCGGATGCGACACGCCTCCAGACAAGACGTCCATGAACCAGTCTGCAGGATTCTCGCACTCAGGCATCTGGAACCCCAAGCCCTCGAAGTACGGCTTCGCCCTCTGGGAAGGCCCGAGGAAGACGGTCCTGCCCCCTGGCCCCAGAAGAAGTACATCGTCGAAGAGCGTGAAGAGCTGGTACCGCGGCTGGTGGATCACCATGATAATCCGCCACCGTGCCCTGAGGCACGAGCTGGAATGTCCTCGGGTCCTTCGAGTCTTCCGCCCTGGGCATTTGGGGGGGGAGGGGGGGGGATGAGGCGGGGGAGGAGGAGGAGGAGGAGGAGGAGGAGGAGGAGGAGGAGGAGGAGGAGGAGGGTAGGAGGAGGAGGAGGAGGAGGACAAGGAGGAGGAGGAGGAGGTGGAGGAGGAGGAGCCTGGAGTTCGAGGCGCTCCCGGCGCTCTCGCGTCTTGTCGGGCAACTGCCTCGGACCAAGGCCCCGAGATGGCACGAGAGGGCCCCGAGAGGCCCCCCAGAACATCCTCGCAACTCTGGGCTCCGAGATGCCTGCGCGAGGTGGTCCGGCCCATCTCGCCTGACAGATCCTCGCAACTCTGAACTCTGAGATGCCCTGCGCAAGGTGGTCCGGCCCGTTTCGCACAAGACATTCTCGCAGCTCTGAGCTCTCAGATGCTGCGCGAGAGGTGGTCCAGCCTGGGGGCCCAGAAGACCACATGTTATATCCCCCCTGGGACCCCGGGGAGCCCCAGGAGGCCCCAGAGAGCTTCAGGAGGCCGCAGGACGCCCAGGACAGGCCCCAGGGGTCCGCAGGAGATTCCCAGGAGGCTCCCAGGAGGCCCCAGGAGGCCCCGTGTCAAGTTAAATACACATCCGGTGTCGACTCGTTGATTTTTCCTGCTCTTGTGCCCCCCCCCCCCCCTATTTTGGGGGGCCCCGACGGCCATATGTTAGATATCCCCCCCCCAGGGAGCCCCAAGAGGCTTCAGGAAGCCCCGGGTGGGGTCCAGGAGGCCACGGGAGGCCCCAGGAGGCCCCCGCAACTCGGAGCTCTGAGACGCCGCGCTCGAGGTGGTCCGGCCCGTTTCGCCTGAGACTTCCTCGCAGCACGTTTCGCCCGAGACATCGTCGCAACTCTGGGGTCCGAGATGCCGCGCGCGAGGTGGTCCAGTACGTTACGCCTGAGACATCCTCGCAACTCTGGGCTCCGAGATGCCTGCGCGAGGTGGTCTGGCCCATCTCGCCTGAGACATCCTCGCAACTCTGAGCTCTGAGATGCCGTGCGCAAGGCGGTCCGGCCCGTTTCGCACAAGACATTCTCGCAACTCTGAGCTCTCAGATGCTGCGCGAGAGGAGGCGTTCCCAAGCGCTCCCAGGCGCTCCCAGGCGCTCCCAAGCGCTCCCAAGCGCTCCCTCCAGGCCTCGGCCCGAAAGCCGGCGCGCACGAGCGCCACGGGAAATAATCCCTACCTAAGAGGACGCAAGCGGATGTTGGAGGAACCACACAAACCCTGCTGGAGAACTCCGAGGCCCAAGGATGGGACCCGCAAGTCCTCCCAAGAACCAAGAGTCTCTCACAGGATTGCGCATAACTTGAGACCCAAGAGGGTATCTGTGTACGTGTGATACACAAAGCACCGTATGTCGTACACATGAGGAAGATCGCCAAACCGACTGGAATCGTGGAGCCCTACGGGAAAGAGAACCTCGACTACCAAATGAACCCTAAACCCTAATAGAGAAAACCGTTGGTGGTTCGCCGCCCTAACGGGCGCGGGGTGGGAATGTGAAAAGGTGAGCTGGCCCCGTAGCCGAAACGTGATTCCGCCCAACATGATCTCACCACGACAAGACTACCCTACCCCCACTCCACTTTATGTTGGGGGGTGGTCTTACACGATTGATGATCCGCAAGCGCTGACTGAAGACACCCCAAGCCCTAAACCCTAAATTCTTAATCCTATAATTATGAAATCCTAATTACCATAAAACCAATCGTTATGCACCCCCCCTCCATCAACTGCAAAAAATAGCATTTCCTGAGCATGCGCGCAGAATCTCTTGTATTTTACACTACAAAGTGCCCAGCCCCCGTTGCAACCGGTCATGTAAACCGGCTCCATGCACTGCAAAAATAACATATCCTGAGCATGCGTGTGGAATCTCATGTATTTTACACTACAAAGTGCCCGACCCCTGTCGCGACCCCGCTCCATCTGATGCAAAAAATAGCACTTCCTGAGCACGTGTGCAGAATCTCATGTATTTTACAATACAAAGTGCGACCCCGATCCACCTATTCCACAACGTCGCCTTTCCTGCGCATGCGTGGGGACTCTCTCCCGCCCGACCCGACTCTTCCCGCCCGTTAGAACACTCGCGTGCCAACTGGATGGCACATCACTCGTCGCCGTCGTCGTCGTCGTCGACGTTGTAGTCGATGTGGTTCTACCGAGGGGAGAGATGATCTTTATGGTGGGGTGGCGGGCGGGTGGGAGTGACGGCCACCGCAGGTGGGTTCGCGGTCCAGGTGTACTCGTGGCCACGCCTAGTAGACCTTACCCTAAACCCTAATCGCTGAACTCTAAACCATAAGCTTACACCTTAAACCCTAAACCCGAAACTAAACCCTCAACCCTAAACCTGACCCAAAACATGACCCTCAACACCACCAGGCAAAGCATTTCAGTATAAAAAACAAAGAAATGATAAGCGGGCACAGCACCACCAGGTGAAGCACTTAACCTTCGCAGTTTCTCAGAAGTACCACCCCCTGGTTACCCCCAGCGAGCACATGACATATGCCTCTTCCCAAGCGCCAGCAAGAACCTCCCAAGCACTTCGCCTCGTAACAAGTGTCCCCAGGCGCCCGCAGGCACCTCTTAAGTGCCGTCGCAGATACGACGACCCTAGCGCACCCCCCAGATACGCCAACCCTGCCGTATCCCCAGATACGCCAAACCAAAAAAATCTAAACCCACATCATAATCCAATAGATTGGCAAGACTTCGGCCCAACGTTTGGCCGCACGAGCGTTTCCAGAAGTCAGGGGGCGGCGGTTATTCGCCATAGGCGTCTTCGATTGTCATGTCGAGCTCTGTCATCTTCCTGAGGGAGTTGATGATCTGCAGCGACGTGGTGGAAAAAAAAGGAAATAAAAAAAAAAAAAATAGATAAGAAAGAAAAAAAAAAAAAGAGAGAAGAAAAAAAATAAGAAAAGAAAAAACAAAAGGAAAAAGCAAAGAAAAAAGGAACAAATAGAAAAAATAAACAGGGGGAGGGGGGGGGAAAAAAAAAAAAAATAGATAAAGAAAAAAATAAGTAAAAAAGGAAACGTGCCAGGCCCATACTGGGCTCGTCCAGGTTAGACCAAGGGCCGGGCACGCGAACCAGCTCCAGGCTCCGGGGCCGAGGCCCCGAGTTCTTGCGCTGCCCCCCCGCGATGCCCTCTCCTCCCACGCTCCCCACCGAGAGGAAGCCTGCCGGCTACTGGCTGATCTGAAAGAACCTCGGGAGGGCGCGCACAGGGGGGTAGGGGGAGGGGGGAAGGCTTCTTAGAAGGAGGCTGTTTCTTACAAGTCGCCGGCCCTGCATCTACGGACAAGGCCCGCGCCTTCTGAGAAGCAGGGGTGATTCTAAGAAGCCTTCCCCCTCCCCTCACCCCCCTCTGCGCGTGGCTGACCTTGAGAGCATCGTCGACGATGTCATCGATGGCTGCCGCGGGGGTGTCGCTCGAGTTGCGCAGCTGGGCGGCGAAGTGGAGATTCTCGCGCACCGTTAGCCGCGGGTGGACAATGTCGTCCTGTGGAACGAAGCCGAAAGTTGGGCGCAAGCTCGTCGGGTTTACCTCGGCATCGTTGAAGAACACCTTGCCGGTCCTGCTGCCGTACGTGGCCCTGCCGGCAAGCACGTTCATGAAGGTGGTCTTGCCCGCGCCCGAGGGACCCATGATGGCCACGAGATGGCTGCGCTGCACTTCTCCCGTGACGCCCTCGAGCACGCTCCTGCCGTCCTTCAGCCGGAGCCCCAGCTCCTGGAAGCGGATGGACACGGAGGAGCCGGCCGGCCGCATGCCGCGGAACTGGTGCGTGTTGACGCTGTGCGAGGGGATGAAGCGGCGCCCGACGGCCACGCCGAGGTCGTGGGCCGTGGCCACCGCCTCCATGCGCTGCGAGCGCCGCTGCTGGGCCCGCCGCCAGAGGACCTGCGCGAGGTGCAGCAGGAGGACGAGCGAGAACACGGCGAGGGTGACGGCAAAGGGGACTTTGTGCTCCCTCATGAAGACAACGGTGCTCGGTTTCGCCGTGTCTGGGCAGGACGGAAGGCCCGCCGCAGCGACGATCTCCTTGGTGGTGTAGCAGTCCGAGATCTCGAGGTAGGTCAGAGCACAGTTGCTGTTCGAGTCCAAGGCGCACTCGGAATTGTCGGAACACATGGGGAAGAAATACGAAGTGGTTGTCGTTGTCGTTTCGAGCGGGCACGACGAATAGACCGAGCAATAGATCTTCTCGACCTTCTTCGTCATGCAGTAATACTGATTGTTGTAGTCGCCGTCCAGAGTGCACGCTGCGTGCCAGGATCCTGCGGCCTCGAAGGGGAAACTACATGGGCAATGAGAGTGGTCCAAAATTATCACGTCTCCTTTCCGCCACTGCCCTCCAGAGGATCCCTCCGAGCGCTGGCCGCTCCCCTGGCCCGTCTGCGAGACAGTGACCTCGCCAGCCCACTCGAGCATGCCGTTCCTGGACTGCATAACGCCGTAAGTGCCGCCATCTAACGACCGTCGCCAATCATCCGCGCCAACCATGCGGCTCCACTGTAGCGGGTCGAAGGTGAAGATGGACCCCGAGGAAATAGCATCAATCACAACCACTTCCACCTGATAACACAAACGCCATCCTCCATCAGTTCCACTGGAGTCACTGCTCCACGAAATGGTCTTCGTCGCTGTCATGGTCTCTGAGGGGCCATATCCCGAAAATTGGCTGTTGTCGTTGTCGTCGATGCGCAGATCCGCCACCGTGCGGCGAGGCACTGAGTGGAATGTCCTCGAGTCCCTTGGAGTTCTCCGTCACCACACCTGAGCGAAGGAACATACCTCCTCCTCGCCCTGGTTATGCTCCTCCTCCTCTTTTTCCCCCTCCTCCTCTTCTCCTCCTCCTCCTCCTCCTCCTCATCCTCCTCCTCGTCGAGCTCCCCGCCCTAAGACGACCTCCGAGACCGCCAGCAGGCCAAAATCAGGCCCCGAGAGGCCCCCAGGAGACCCCAGAGATGCCCGAGGACACCCCCAAAAATCGCCCCCAAGAGGCTTCCGAGAGGCCTCCTAAGATATCCTCACAGGCATCCAGGAGGCCTCTGACCCACAACCTGGGCGCGGAGGCGGAATGGGCCAAAGGCCACTAGATCCGCCGCCCCCTGTCGATTCATCGCAAGGGTGCCTGGCGTGCTAGACCTTCTCGGTTTTGGTTTTGGTTCTTTTGTCCAAAAGAACTCCCCCTGGGGCTTCGGCCCGTCCCGCCGGGGTCCCGGGAGATTACCGAAAACCCGGTTGCAAAGGTTTTTCCTGCTCCAGACGGCTCCAAGACGGCCCAAGATGGTCTCCAAGATGCATCCAAGACGGCCAAGATGGCTTCCAAGACGGCTAAGATGGCTCCAAGATGCCTCCAAGACGAGCCAAGATGCACTCAACACGGCCTAAGATAGCCTCAACATGGCCCCAGACGGCCCAAGAGGCCTCCAATACGGCCCAAGAGGCCTCCAAGAGGTCCTCCAGCATTCATTTTCCTTGGGTCTTTTAATGATTTGGGCATGTGCGCCTTCTCGGCATTCCGACGGCTCAAGACGGCCAAAGAGGCCCCCAATATCGCCCCCACAGCGCCCAAGAGGCCTCCAAGATGGCCCCATGACGGCCCAAGAGGCCCCCAAGAGGCCTCCAAGAAGGCCCCAAGATGCCTCCAAGACGGCCAAGATGGCCTCCAAGACGGCCAAGACGGCCTCCAAGATGGTCCAGGATGGCCTCCAAGTCCGCCCAAGAAAGGAGGAGATGCCTCCAAGTCCGCCCAAGAAACCTCCAAGACGACCCAAGAGGTGCCCAAGAGGCCTCCAAGACGGCCCAGGAGGCCTCCGAGAGGTCCTCCAGGAGGGCCCGAAGAGGCCAAAATCATTGATTTTCCTTAGGTGTTTGAAGGATTTTCGTATTTGCTCTTTTTCGGCTTTCCGACGACCCAAGACGGCCCAAGAGGCCCAAAGATCGCCCCCACAGCGCCCAAGAGGCCTCCAAGATGGCCTCAGGACTGCCGCAGAGGCCCCCAAGACGGCTCCAAGAGGGCACAAAGACGACCCAAGAGGCCTCCAAGACGCCCAAGATGGCCACTAAGACGGCCCTGGAGCACCCCAAGAGGGACCCAAGTCGGCCCAGAGAGGCCCCCCCAACGGCTTCTGGCAGCGTCAGACGGGCCAGGAGCCCACCAAGATGGCCGAAGTTGGCTCGAAGCTCTGGCCCAAGACGGCCCAAGAGGCCTCCAAGAGGGCCTCCAGGACGGCCAAAAACATTGTTGTTTTTCCTAGGTGTTTGAAGGCTCTTGGAATTTGCTTCTTTTCGGCCATCCGAAGGCCCAATACTGCCCAAGAGCCCCCAAAGATCGCCCAAGAGCCCTTCAAGATGGCCCCATGACAGCCCAAGAGGCCCCCAAGACGGCCCTGGAGGCTTTTAAGACGCCCAAGATAGCCTCCAAGACGGCCCTGGAGCATTCCAAGAGGGCCCCAAGTCGGCCCAGAGGGCCCCCCAAACGGCTTCCGACGGCGTCTGACGGGCCAGGAGCCCACCAAAACGATCGAAGATGGCCCTAAGATGGCCCAAGACGGCCCAAGAGGCTTCCAAGAGGGCCTCCAGGAAGGGCCGAAAAGGTCAGAATCATAGATTTCCCATGAGTTGTTGAAGGATGGCATTTGCTTTTTTTCTGCCTTCCGACGGCCCGAGACGGCCCAAGTGCAACCACAGATCGCCCAAGAGGCCCACGACGGCCCCCAGAGACCCCCAAGACGGCCCAAGACCAAGACGCTCAAGATGGCCTCCAACACGGCCCAAGAGCCCTCCAAGACGTCCTCCAAGAAGGCCCGAAAGGGTCAAAATGGCCTCCAGGCGGCCAAGATGACTTTCAAGATGCCCACGTGTTCCCCGAAGGCTCTCGAAACCGATTTGGGGAACACATGGTCCGATAGCTTGGCAGGTCTGGCCTCAACGTTCGGCCACCCAGGCGCTTCCAAGAAGGCAGGGGGGGGCGGTGATTCGCCGTAGGCGTCTTAGATCCGCCGCCCCCTGTCGATTCATCGCAAGGGTGCCTGGCGTGCCGAATCCTCTCGGTTTTGGTTTTCGTTCTTTTTCCAAAAGAGCTCCCCCTGGGGCTTCGGCCCGTCCCGCCGGCCACCCGGAAAGGATCTCAAAACGCATCCGGCGTGCCTCTGTTTCCTCTAGTTGGCCCAAGATGGCGTCCAAGACGGCCAAGATGGCCCAGGATGGTCTCCAAGACGGCCTAAGATGGCCTCCAAGACGGCTAAGATGGCCCCAAGATGCCTCCAAGACGGCCCAAGATGTACCCAAGACGGCCTCAGATAGCCTCAGGATGGCCTCAACATGGCCCAAGACGGCCCAAGAGGCCCAAAAGGCATCCAAGAGGTCCTCCAGAAAGGCCCGAAGAGGCCAACATCATTGATTTTCCTATGGTTTTTGAAGGATTTTGGGATGTGCTTCTTCTCGGCATTCCGACGGCTCAAGACGGCCCAAGAGGCCCCCAAGATCGCCCACGAGGTCTCCAAGGTGGCCCCATGACGGCCCAAGAGGCCCCCAAGACGGCCCCAAGAAGGCCCCAAGAGGCCTCCAAGACGGCCACGATGGCCTCCAAGACGGCCAAGATGGCCCAAGATGGCCTCCAAGATGGCCTCCAAGTCCGCCCATGAGAAGAGGAGATGCCTCCAAGTCCGCCCAAGAAACCTCCAAGACGGCCCAAGACGGCCCAAGAGGTGCCCAGGAGGCCTCCGAGACGGCCCAGGAGGCCTCCGAGAGGTCCTCCAGGAGGGCCCGAAGAGGCCAAAATCATTGAGTTTCCCTAGGTGTTTGATGGATTTTCGTATTTGCTCCTTTTCGGCTTTCCGACGACCCAAGACGGCCCAAGAGGCCCCCAAGATCGCCACCACAGCGCTCAAGAGGCCTCCAAGATGGCCTCAGGACTGCCGAAGAGGCCCCCAAGACGGCCCCAAGAGGGCATAAAGACGACCCAAGAGGCTTCCAAGACGCCCAAGATGGCCTCTAAGACGGCCCTGGAGTACCCCAAGAGGGCCCCAAGTCGGCCCAGAGAGGCCCCCCAAACGGCTTCCGACGGCGTCAGACGGGCCAGGAGCCCACCAAGATGGCCGAAGTTGGCTCGAAGCTGGCCCAAGACGGCCCAAGAGGCTTCCAAGACGGCCCAGGAGCCCTCCAAGACGTTCTCCAGGAAAGCCCGAAAAAGGTCAACCTCATTGATGTTCCTTAGGTTTTTGAAGGATTTTGGCGTGGGCGTCTTTTCCGGGTTTTCTGTCGGCCGAGGACGGCCCAAGAGGTCCCTAAGATCGCTTCAAGAGCACCCAAGAGCCCTTCAATATGGCCCTAGCCCGAGAGGCCCCCAAGAGGGCCCCAAGAAGGCCCCAAGACGGCCCAAGAGGCTCGCAAGACGCACGAGATGGTCTCCAAGACGGCCCTGAAGCGCCCCAGGAAGGCCTCAAGTCAATTCAGAGAGGCCGCCAAGACGGCTTCCGACGGCGCCAAACGGGCCAGGAACGCCCTAAGACGGCCAAGGAGGCGCCCAAGAAGCCCCCAAAGGCCCCCAAAAGAACGATGGAGGCCCCCAAGAGGCCTTCAGGAGGCCCCCAGAAAGGTCCCAGGATGCCCCAAGGGTGCCCCAAAAGGCCTCCTCCTCCTCCTCCTCTTCCTCCTTTCTCCTGATCCTCCCCCTCCTCTTCCTCCTTTCTCCTGATCTTCCCCCTCCTTTTCCTCCTCCTCCTCCTCCTCCCCCGCGCGTTCCCCGAAAGATTCCCAACGGCTGGGGGAACACGCCGTCCGACAGCGTGGCCGAACTCTGGCCACAACGTTCGGCCACATAGGCGTATCAAAGGCAGGGAACGGCCCAAGACACCCCCAAGAGGCATCCAAGACGGCCCAAGAAACCGCCAAAATGGCACAATCGAGCCCAACAGTGTTTCAAGAGACTCCGACGAAGCCTCTTTCTCCCTTCTCTGTGCTCCTCCTTCTCCCCCACTTTTCTTTCTCGACCACGTGTTATCCGAAGGTTTTCCAAACAAGCTCGGGGATCACATGGTCCGATCGTTTGGCTAAGCTCTAACCCAACCTTCGGCCACGAGACGGCCAAAACCTCCAAGACGGCACCGAGACTGTTCCAAGACGGCCGAAGAGGCCTCCAATACGCCCAAGATGCCTCCAAGACGGCCCCGAAGCGCCCCAAGAAGACCCGAAATCGGTTAAGAGAGGCCCCAAAGACGGCCGCCTCTTGGGGGCCTCTTGGGGCTTCTTGAGGGGCTCTTGGGGCCTCCTGGGAGCTTCTAGGGGCGAAAGTGTAGACTTTTCAATTCGTGGTCCCCCTCTTGGGGCCGTCTTGGGGCCCTCTAGGGCCGTCTTGGGCGCCTCTTGGGCCGTCTTGGGGCCCTCTTGGGGGCCTCCTGGGAGCATCTTGGGCCGTCTTGGGGCGATCTTGGGGGCATCGTGGACCGCCTTCAACGCTGCGAAAACAGAAAAGCCGTACATGCTAAAATGCATGCTTTTACCTAACAGCGAAGACTGATAGGTTTTTAATGGGGTCAACAGAAAGCATCTGATGACTCCCCAGAGGGGTCTGGGCGGGAGCCGGACAGGCGAGGGCCGGGCTCGTTTTAAGCAAAAAGACGCACACTTCGTGCTCTTCGACCTGCCAGAACTCCATTCCCGGGCCACATTTTAAAGGCCCGGAGCCAACTGTAAGCCACTTCGTGCTCTTCGACTTGCCAGAACTCCATTCCCGGGCCACATTTTAAAGGCCCGGAGCTAACTGTAGGCCACTTCGTGCTCTTCGACTTCCCAGAACTCCATTCCCGGGCCAC